AGTTTTCCATAAGCTTAGTTATCATCTAATGATCAAAACCCAAACTTTAAATCAACAAATAATCAACTAATTATAAAACTTAACAAATAATCAACTAATTAGAAAACTTACCTTTGCAAGCTTGGCTTCCTTTCTCTCGTATGATGAAGAAGAATATGATGAAGTGGAGAAAATATCTCCTCATCCTTATCCCCACATGCCAATATATCATTTTCAAGTCAAATGACCATTTTGTCCTTTAATTCTTTTAATAATTACTAACAACCCTTCAGGAAATACTTTCAAATAAATCATTGAACTTTTCAACTTTTCCACTTTAATCACCGAATTCTGAAATTTTACAATTTAATCATTAACCTATAGTTTGGGATGTTACAGGGACCCACCAAGGATCATGTTTCAGATCATACTTCCACAGCAAACGAGTAGAAATGGCGTTATTTTTTTAAGGGTAAACCTGGGCACGGTTAGATACTTAGCCAACGCCCAAACCACTAAGCCAAGAGCACTATTTAAAATTAACATACAACATACAATATACAAGATATTGTAATGAATGAGAAAAAAGGTTAAAATTATAAAAATACCTTCTAATCGTGTTGTGACACGTCTCATAATATGAAACTCGTTTTTTATAAAATGCGAGGTCTGATCTTACTTTTGGTAGAACTCATGGTCATTCTATGCAAGGATGAACTTAGGCAGGGCGGTCGCCCCTAAAAATTTAAAATTACCCTATATTTTAGATTTTATATATGTATTTTCGGTTGAAATTTTTTTTTCGCCTCCCTAGATTTCATAAGTTAAAATTTACCTTTTAAAATTTTATAAGTTCAAATTCGCCCCTTAACATAAAATTATGCTTATGTCCTTGATTCTACCGGACAGTTTGAAGGATATTATTTTTAACAAATACTATTTGGAAGATATTAGTCCAGTCCAATAAATGATTTAAAATAATAAAGCTAGGTAAACTTGATGACTTCACACTTAAAAAAATATAAAGTTTATAATATGATAGCACGTCAAACGAGTATTATGTTAATATTTTCTGTAGTATATTAATGGTTTTAAAATATATTATGACGTAAAATCACTTAGTGAAATTCAATAACAATAACCAAATTTCAATTGTAAAAAATGTTGAAATTAGTATCAATCAATCAAAGAAATAAATGTTTATTAAAGGCATTTCTGATAATTTTATTATTGAACAGAATAAAAAAAATAGTAAAGGTACTTACTATAATAAAATATAAAATTATTATTTCGTATAGGATAATTTTTTTTAAATAATCAATACGTTTTAAATAATAGTAAATTCATAAAGGGCATGTGTTGAATTGAATTAATCACATTCAACATGTGGTCAGTTAACGTTATAAATAAGAAAATGGTTGTCACACAGAGGATTGATGAATTGGAGTACTATAGAATAAAGTTCCTTGAATAATTTTAGTGTGGGGTCTTATCATGTCTGCTACATATTGTTTGATTTGACTTATTATTATTGCAATGAACTCGTGGCCAAGCGCGTCTGGTCAACTTGATTATTCGAATTGCATGACGTGATGAAGCTCCATTTGTCCAATATATTTTATATGCTTTCACTATAAGTAGTTTGAATAAATAATGTGCTGAATTCTCTGCGACTACTTTTCGAAATTATCTATATCTATTTTATAACAATGTGATCAATGACTTCAAAATTCTTGAATATTCATATAGTTTAATTATATTTTTTATTAATGATTTTTTCAAAATACTACACCAAAATATGTTTAAAGCTTCATATAATTTAAATTGAGTAAGAAGTGCAGCAGTAGCAGTGGATATCATTAGTTAATATTGACTCTCATCAATAATGGTAGGACAATCTTATTCAATTTAAAAACTTAGTTGGCATGTAATTAAACTATATAAACATTTTGTAATGTAATTAAGTGGAGATTTGAATATGTTGCTTTCAAAAAGATCCTATTTGGTGGCTAATCAAATTGAAACAAAATTTTACGGGTTTTCAAATGACAAACATTATTTTAAAGTGATGTAACGTCCATATATCATGTACAGAAGGGTATACGAAAGATGGGTATTATAGTTGGGCCTCCGAGTTTGCTTGCTGGATCAAGCTAGCTTACCTGGTTAGGCTTCTTCACATCTTTGTTGGACTTAGACCTAAATAAAAAATAAAAATAAAAATAAAAAAAAACAAACAAACAAACAAACAAATATATAAAATATATTTCGAAAAATGTTTTCGAAATCTATACATATGATATATTTCCAAAAACGTTTTAAAATTATGTATTATATATATTTTCAAAATGTTTTCAAAGCTATATATATTATATATATTTCAAAATGTTTTTAAAACTATATATTATATATATTTTCAAAATGTTTTCAAAACTATATATTATATATATTTTCAAAATATTTTCAAAGCTATATTATATATATATATATATATATATATATATATATATATATTTAAAATGTTTTCAAAAACTATATATTATATATGTTTTCAAAATGTTTTCAAAAACTATATATTGTATATATTTTTGAAATGTTTAAAAAATATTATACATATTATTAAAAAGCACCCCATGCGAAAATGAGTGACTACATCGTTGTTAGCTATTTGTCGAGGCTTGTCTCTATTCAGTGTTATATTTGTATTGCTTGCTTGCTTGCTTGCTTTCTTCTTGATTGATTGAAAATTTAATTAAAATCATGTCTTATTGTGAAAATTGATTGTGTTTAATGTAATTCGGAAAAAAATTCATGTGATGCATGTTGATTTATCAGAATCGGAATATATGTTGTGCGTACAAAATAAGTGATTGTGCTAAATTGTGGGAATCATGATATATACTTTGAAATATTTGATTATGTAATATTTATATTTGGATTGGATTCAGAAATCAGGTATGTATGTCATTTTGCTATGTCATATTGGGATGTGTTTGATAGGAGAAGTTAAGTGTATTCACTCGACGAGGGAATGTTACTTTCGAATTTTGTGGGCTATGCCTTTGTGGTGGACTCCACTTCAGCTGGCGTGATTATAGTTAAAGTGGTTATGGGGAACATACTCTTTAAATGGTGTGACAGACGTATGAGTGCATTTATTTTTGCATTTCATTCGGACCATGAATATGATGACTTGGATTCTGTATATGTTTGTGTTTTGAACTTATTTGTCAGATTTCTCTTTAGAGACACACTAAGCTTAATAACTTACACCCATATACTCAACATTAGGTGAATCGATACTCGGAGAATCACATTCTTTATTCAGACAAAATTATTATTTTCAATATGATTTTTATTTGACTTTTCTTCTGCCATACATTTGTTTATTTTTCTGGAATTGATATGTTTGTAAATGAGAATTTGGACGTTACTATTATTATTGAAACTGTTTATGCAATCACTTCCAGTTATTTATTATTTATATTAAAAACATTTATTAAAAATTAAAAAATTTGAATTTGATAATCATTCTTTTAAATTATAATCTAATTTTTAAAGTTTTGAATTGAAAATATTTTTTGAGAGATAAATTTCAATTTGAATTTTTAGATTCAACCTAATTTCTTTAATTCGATGTAAAAAGTTACAATACTCAACAGAAACAGATAGATTAACCAAAGCACACAAAACAAAGACAGAAAATGCACGAGAACAGCTGCAGTCAATGTCTTGTCATTCCAGGGACCACTATTGGCACCGCTGCAACTCCACGCTTTTGCCTATCCATGTTGGCTTCCCAACCTTCATTCCCCAAAAATAATATATATGTAATTCGTCAACCAAAGCATATTAAATATGGATTGATTAATGATGCACAAGGGAAAAATGATTGATTTTTGTAAAGGTTGAATTCTATTTTTAGTCCCTCTACTTTATCCAACATTGAGAATTAGCCCGTATATTTTGTTATAACGTGACCTTATAAAAATATGGTTTACCTATCTCCATGTCAAAGCCACGATTTTTGAGCTCTCTGTATTCTTGACAAAGAGCAAACGGACCACAGCAGAAGTGAAGCAGGCAGTCATTACATGGTTCCTCCGCTAAGTCGTATTGTCCCCTTAGTCTCGAGCGATAGATGAATGAATATAAACATGCACAACCACCGAAACCCAACAGCACCGTATACAACAAACCCCTTGAAAAACAAGCTGCCCAAAAACAATAATGAAATCTCAAATTTTTTAACGAATTGAAACAAACATCATATTGTAGAAAAAAAAATGTAAACGTTACATGTTTGTCCTCGGTTGACTATCTCCGATATCTGTCCGAATGTTATGCAAGGACAAAAACAAGTAATCAAACCTGCAAATTTCGGAAATCGAATCAAAGGGTTCATCTGAAAACGAAAATAAAGCATGAAAAATGATGAAGATGGTTAATGGTTTATGACCTTACAATTTGCAGGGTCATCAAAGCAATGGCAAAGACCAGTGGTCCAGTCTCCAGGGGGGTGGTGTTGAAAACGTGTAGGGAAAGCAGTTGAGATTGCTGGAGTTGGGGTGGGACTTGGATGGCTGTGAGCCGATGTCCGAACAGCCGGATGATCCTGCGTGCTAGTATACATGGTTTCTAGTTTTTTGAATTTCTTTGAAGTTTTCAGTTGGTTTGATAATACAGAAAACAGATGATTATTTGTAGGTTATTCCATGGCTTTCAGATGATGGAAAGTATGAAGCTGTAGGGTATCTCCTTGCTTGCATTGTAAGTCCAAGTTGATAATTTAAGCATTGATTCTGATGTAAAGCCGATTCCATACAGGGTTCCATCGGAATAATATGAGATGGATGGATAAAATTAAATAAAGGGGAGTGTCGCCACATGGGTTTGGGGCTTCTGAGTTATGAACCAAATCCAACCCATAGACTCACCGAAGCATAGGCCCTAGTCCTCTAGAACCCGACCCAATTCCTCTAATATTTCCAGATCCAACAATTTTGCATTCCATTTTTGTTTTACCGCCAAAGTTTCTGATTTTCAAATTTCTTCTTCTCTAATCCCTCACCCCTCTTTCTTTCACCGCCCAAAATGGTGAGGGAAAGTCAGTCCACGTCATCAACGGAGGAAGACGAAGAAATTTCCTCCGATTCCGATCCAAGCGACGATTACGCCGTTGAGCGTCCGGAAGAAGACAATGATTACGAAGAAGGAGAGAACGATGACGATGGTGGAGAATCTACAGCGCATCATCCACCGTCCGATGGAGATCTCAAGTCCAAGAACGTCGATGCTTTGTTAAGGTGCTTTCCGTTTCAAAAATCCAATACCTAACCAAAAGAAAAAAAACGAAGAACTTGGATGACCAGAAATTTTCAGTTTAAACTAATCGAAGGTGTATTTTTTTGGCTTTCCTTTGAGCTTGAGCTGAAAATAATTCTGATTCAATGGATTATTGGTTATGCAAGGACTGTTTTCATTATTATTTTGATATTATTATATTTTGAGTCTCGAAATACCGATCGCAGTTAAATATATTTTATGTGAATTTTGTTGATAGTTTATTGAAGTCTATATGTAATGATTTATTAGGGGCAACCTTGTTGTAAGAAGACAATCGCTGCTTCCACGAGTTCTTTCAGTAACTGAAGGAGCTGCAGTTTGTAGGAAACCATTTAAGCCCCCATGTTCTAATGGCTATGATAATGGGAAAGAAAATCTAACACATCGTCTTTGGGCCCGGAAGCGGTTTGTTCCTTGGGGCTCTTCAAGGCCAGCGTTAGTTGCAATAGCCAAACCGCTAATTAGAACAGAGTCGGATAGGACTGATATTAAGGAGGAAATTGTGACACTTCCGCCGGGTGTTGAGCCTTTGGTATTATGGCAACCTGAAGAATCTGAAGATGGGCCCAAAAACTTAGTGCCCATAGCAGTGGATCCCTTGCTTGTCCGTTTTCTTCGACCCCATCAAAGGTATTGTTTATCAGTCTCAATCCTGATGTTCAGTTTGAGGAAATGCAAGGTAGAGCTTTATGTACATAGTTATATGTATTTCTTTATGTAAATTTGTGTCTGCGTGCACGTGGTATGTAGATGCAATTCAGAAATGACCATGTTCTGTTTGAAAATTGAAACTATAGTGGTTAACAGCCCACTGAATTTGGATTTTATTTGGGTATGGTATGGGTCGCTGAGAATATATTATTAGAATAAGAATGTTTTTATAGAATTTTGTAAATTGGTTGTGGATGTTGTCTTCTTCTTTATTTTAAGGGAGATATTCTTTTCATTTTGTAATACAGAGAAGGAGTTCAGTTCATGTTTGAATGTGTGTCTGGGTTGTATAGCGCTGCCAATATTAATGGATGCATTCTTGCTGATGATATGGGGTAAATATCTTATCCCTTCATGGTAAATCCCTTCAGACAGTTTATGACTTCGGTTATCATACTCTGGGTTTTATTTACATATCCTTCATATTTGCAGTTTGGGAAAGACACTGCAGTCAATCACTTTACTGTATACCCTTCTTCGTCAAGGGTTTGATGGGAAGCCGATGGTTAAGAAGGCCATAATTGTCACACCAACCAGTCTTGTCAGTAACTGGGAGGCAGAAATCAAAGAAGTGGGTTGGACAAAGAGTTCAACTTATAGCTCTCTGTGAAAGCAGCAAAGATGACGTCGTCTCTGGAATTGACAGCTTCATAAATCCCCGTAGCTTTGTGCAGGTAGTTTTTGCACTGTATACTTAAGTGTGGCACATTCTTTTTGATTTTTTTTAATCAATTGTTTTCAGGTATTGATTGTTTCATACGAGACATTTAGGATGCATTCATCAAAATTTAGCCAAAGTGAGGCTTGTAATCTTCTTATTTGTGATGAGGCTCACAGGCTGAAAAACGATCAGACAATAACAAACCGGGTTTGTTTCTGAAGAATCTCTTTTCTCAACTTTGTGTTCCATGGTAGAAGTCTTTTTTTGTTGCTTTTCTAACAATTTCCATAAACACGTCTATGGTCTAGGTATTGGCTGCTCTCTCATGTAAACGCAGGATTTTGTTATCTGGAACTTCCATGCAGGTGATACTGTAAAGGTCGTTTTATATGATTCATGAATTATGATGTCTGTCTTCCTAACATATAGTTTCACCTCCTTTTCATCCAAACAGAATGACCTTGAAGAGTTCTTTTCCATGGTCAACTTCACTAATCAAGGAATTTTGGGTGATGTTGCATACTTTCGGCGTTACTACGAGGTCAGTTGATCACTCAGCACTGTAGTTTCAGAGGTTAAATTTGCAATGCAAAAATTACATGTAAAAAATGCTTGTATCTTTGAGTTCCCGAGTTCCATATTTTTATTATCTTCAAAGACACCTATATTTTTTAGTTTAAAACTCGTGTACTTGTGTTATCCCTTCTCTGTTTCTGCCCTGGTCTACAAAAAAGCTGTGAGAACGGATTTGCACTTGAATTGGGCCTACATTAAGCTACATAAATGCTGTCATTAGTGTTGCATCAGCAAATATACCTTGCATATCTAAATATATGTTTGATCTCCTTTCTTCCACATTTAAGCACTCTTTTTTTCCCTGGACACTTTCCTTGTGTAAAGGCCAGTTGCTTCTGGGCAATAAAATGCTTTACAATTGATTTGTTGTCGTGCAGTAGAAAATATATATAATCAAGTTGGTTTTTAAACTTTGGAGGGTAGTATCAGGATGGAAGCCATCACAGTGTATAGTTAAATTCTTCTAAATAAATTTTAACTAGAGAAGTTAGAAATGTATGCTGCAGTTGCCGGGAAGAATTCACATTCCTTGTATCCTCTATTACTAATTTGTAATTCTGCTGTCTTCACGATTATTCTTGTTGTTCCATTTTACCTTTTCTTTTCCATTCTATTAACACTTGCTTGTTCCTTATATATACTGTTGTAATGCCTCCAAATGATTTAGACACCAATAATTTGTGGAAGAGAACCAACTTCTAGTGAAGAAGAGAAGAAGCTAGCTGCAGAACGTTCTTCAGAATTAAGTGCAAAAGTAAATCAGGTAATGTTGGTTTATTATTCTTATTTTTAGCAATAACTGAGTTTCTGGAGGATATATCTACATTCTCATTGGTATATGAACTTTATAGAGTGGTTACTCTCTTCCTGAAATCCATCACTTTGTGTTGCTAATTACTGTTATTCTTTTGAATAACCACTTCCTGTGTTTTTCACAATTGATTGAAAGATACATGATTGCAGTTCATATTGAGGAGGACTAATGTGTTGCTATCAAATCATCTGCCTCCAAAGGTATGGTCCTCATATTGAACTACATCTTACTTTTTACATATCTTTGTCTTAAACTCCTTTTGCAATATTATCTTTTACTAAATGCTCATAATATTAAATATAGGTTGGTGAGCTAGAGTAGATATTTAATGGATTATCTGAAATTTTCCTTCAGGACATTTTTTTCTTCTTGCAGATAGTTGAAGTTGTATGCTGCAAGTTGACTCCTCTTCAGGCTGAGTTGTACAACCATTTTATACACTCTAAAAATGTTGGTTTATTTGTTATTGCTTTACAGTGGAGAGTGGACTACCTGAAGTTTACTGTGTAGACCAAACATAATTGTTGTCTTGCCCGTCTTGAATTCAGGTTAAAAGAGCCATCACTGAAGAAACAAAGAAAACAAAAATCTTGGCTTATATTACAGCTCTCAAGAAGCTCTGCAATCATCCGAAGGTACTGTAGTTTAAGGGAAAAACAGAATTTTTTTACATGTTGCTTAATGTATAACGAGTTGTGTACTTTTTGAATAAAGTTTGGGAAACAAATAAATCTGTTATTTGTGTGTGAGTTCTCCATTCCATATTTGGCACAATGTTCCTTTTTACATTCAGCATTTCAAAATTAACTGGATGTACTAGCATTTGTGCCATATGACTTATATTGTTTACCTTTCTATTTGATTTATCTTCTTTTACTAATTTTAAGAAATTTACTTTGTTCTCATAAATGATATTTCTCTATGTAGCTCATTTATGATACCATTAAAAGTGGAAGTCCAGGAACTACAGGTTTTGAGGACTGTATGCGGTTTTTTCCACCAGAGATGTTCTCCGGAAGGTAGTTTCCTCATATATTGGATATATTTATGCTTTATGTCAACTGTCTGATACATCATAAGGTTATGTTTATTTTTTTATTGTTAGATCCGGATCATGGACTGGCGGTGATGGGGCATGGGTTGAACTATCTGGGAAAATGCATGTATTAGCTGGATTGCTGGCTCATCTTCATCAGAGAACCGATGATCGCATTGTTCTTGTTTCAAACTATACACAGGTCAGTTTAAATGATTAACAAAACGTTATAGAGCTTTGATAAAAAAATCGTTATAGAGCATTATCATATTTTTTTTCATGTTAGTATGCTCAGTTTTAGATGAATCCCTTGGGATAAATCATATTATTATAATTTTTTATGTCAATGAATTTGTTTTGCATCAGACATTGGACCTATTCACTCAACTGTGCCGAGAAAAAAGATATCCATACTTGAGGCTTGATGGAACCACATCAATTGGCAAAAGGCAAAAACTAGTTAATCGCTTTAATGATTCAACCAAGGTATAAAATTACTTGCATCAGTCTATTTGTGGATTAGGTTTCTCTAGTTCATAGTTTTTCTGGGGGTGTTATCAGTGATAATCCGGAATGATTAAACAACAATTTTCAGGATGAATTTGTATTCCTATTAAGTAGCAAGGCAGGTGGATGCGGTCTCAATTTGATTGGCGGTAATCGACTGGTCTTGTTTGACCCTGATTGGAACCCTGCCAATGATAAGCAAGTAATATCTTATCTGAGCTCCAACTATTTTTTTTGTCATTGAGAAAATAGGCACTTGTCGTGTGACCTACTATTTTGACCCTTTGCTAACATAACCTAGGCTGCTGCAAGGGTTTGGAGAGATGGGCAGAAAAAAAGAGTTTACATTTACAGATTCCTAAGTACTGGAACAATTGAAGAAAAGGTTTTGGCATCACTTTAACTCAATATCACCCAGTGTTCTGACTTCTGCATAAACCTTGCCAATAAACAGTTGGAATAAGAGAGCATATTTATATTTCTGTAGGTGTACCAGCGTCAAATGTCAAAGGAAGGGCTGCAAAAAGTCATACAACAGGATCAAATCGACAGTGATATGGGACAGGTTCCTATTTGTCAGTTTTTGTATTTTTTTCATTGGAACTTGATTTTAGCTTATCATATGAAAACTGCTTGAGACTTCGTGTTGCAGGGAAATGTTTTCTCAACGGAAGATTTACGTGACCTTTTCACATTTTATGATAGTGTGAGGTAGAGTGTTTTCTAAGTTACAGCATACTTATATGTCCTCTCTAAAAAATTCATGCATTACACAATATCATCTATTTATTCAGAAGATTTGCAACACCTCTAGCGAACCTGAAATTGAGATTACACAACCGTGGGTATAATGTTATCAATTAACAGCATCAGACTCTTGTAAACCTTTAATTCTGCAACAAGACTTGACATTATCTTAGGGTATAAAGTCTCTTTGTTACTAAATGCTACAGTTATGACAGGATGAAAGAAACCAAATTGAAAATTATTGCATTGACCTCGGTAGCAAGTCAAGAACGTCCATTGATCATGCACGTAATATGAACAACTACTGATTTACTTTGGCCTGGTCTTTTGAAGCAAGCCACATTCCACAATTATGCTCTATGCTTGAATATTCTAGTTCACTCTATCTTTGAATCATTGATTCAAATATTTCGTAGCTAAGGGCAATTTGATTTTCATCTTTGTGTGACACAAGCCTTTATCTCATAAATTACGCAGGTCCGAAATTCATGAAAAGATGAACTGCAACCGCTGTAACAATTATGATAATGGACTTGAAAACATGGGAGAACAGGTAGAATGTGAATCGGAGAATGGAAATTCCGGCTCTGATCAAGAGGTTTTTGACATAGGTGGATTTGCGGGAATTGCTGGATGTCTGGATAAGCTGAAGGGCTCAGAAAAACAGGTTGGGTTATCATTGAGTCATGGAGTATACTAGTGCCTAGTTTCCCATGAGGTCATCCAGTTTATCTTCTCTTTCGGATTGTTTTCAGGTGGGGAGTCCCTTTGAAGAGGATTTAGTTAGCTGGGGGCATCATTTTCACTCAGAATCAGTACCTGATGCTATTCTTCAAGCTTCAGCTGGTGATGAGGTATGGCGATATTTATGCTACTTGTATGCTGTACTTTACGATTCAAAAACTACTCTAATTCTTTGCAAATTGATGATCTTGAGCCTATGAAGAACAAACTTCCTCCAGTGAAATGCATGCATTCAGCAGAAAAATTATAATGATAGTCCTAATCCGTATTGCTCAAAGTCCTCATTTTTCTTGAAATATTCATGTCAGATAAATGTACCCGACGTATGTCTGGGGATGTTTATGATTATATGAACCTCCAAATATGTGGAAAAACTTAAAAAAATCTTTATCTCGTATTTACATTGGAATTCGAGTAACATATGTCCTAATCTTAATAAATATATATTGCAGGTCACATTTGTTTTTACCAATCAAGTAGATGGGAAGCTTGTTCCTATTGAATCAAAGGAAAGAGAAGGAAGTAAAAGGCAGAATAATGGAAAGGTTAGTCACTTGATAGAGAGAGAAGGCAATAATAAAATGCAGAATTCCATGAAGCAAAACCTAGTTTCCAAGCCAAATGTTTTGCCCAAACATCACAAACTATTAAATTCTGATTCTTCCAATAGAAATTCTTTGATACCACCATCATCATCTACTTCACCCACCCCTATACAAAGTGCACTTCATAATCATAAGACCATATCTGGTGGGCTTTCTCTTAGAATTAAATTACCTCTTAAAAGATCCTCCCTCGCTTCTGTAGAACATGATGACGATTTTCAGTAAAGCTTTTAGGCAACATTTTTTCAGATTGTTAAATTTTGTTTCTCTTTGTTGTATTTTATTTTTCTTACAAATGATTAATAAAGATTATATGACATGGTTAAATACAATTAATACATTTAAGGTGTTTATATTTAGAACTCTGATATATACATATATGTTAATGATTTTATATTTACACGAAGTAAAAAATACAATACAAAATGTGAGATTTCTGAAATATGGATCTCACATTCTGATATATACTTCCTTTTGGGCACACTGAAGACCAATGAGAATCGCCCAAAGTTCGGCTTGAATTGTAGAAACTATCCCAATAGATTTCTGAAAGTTGGAGATCCAAGCACCTGTGTGATCCCGAAAAAGCCCACCAACTGAGCCTATACCTGTCGTTGAAGAGATGGCAGCACCGACATTCAAGCAAAGCCATCCTGGGGTCAGTCTCATCCATTTGACGGGTTTTTGAAGTGCAACAAGAGATATCAGAGGTACAAGACTACCATGATAATACCTGGCCCAAGTAATCCCTTTGCTTAAGATGCAGGCATTGGAGATTTTCGAGCTGTTGAAGGCGTAATCATTCCTCGTCTTCTAGAACTGCTAGATTATTGATGAGAAAAGAGTTGGCCAAGGAAACTTCCATCTTGTAACAGTAGCGTTTGATAGGAGACAATCTCGAAACCATTCCTGCAAAGACATGTTAAAGAAAGAAGTGAGGAGATTAGGCGGGAGCAGACGGTGCCATACAGTCCATGCCTCCTTACAATCACGTTTCGGATCCCAAACAAAATTACTGAGATGAATGTAAGTGCCGCCGACAAAAAAAAATATGCTTAGGATTCCAGCGCCAAATAATTCGATCCTCGCCTGCCGAGTTGTTAGGACAATTAATACTGAGAATATGCATTATCATTTCATGAGTAAAAGTCCGAGAGAGTTTACCATAATCTCATTCCTCACGGTTATTAGTGAAATCCATAATAGAGCAATCCGGGATAAGGAATTCAGCATTCACCACATGCTCGCTCATCGAGCCGAGCGAAGGTACGCAAATATATAAATATTTAATATCAATTTCATATATAAATATTTTAGTTTTATTAATATTTAAATGAACTCGATAAATTAAAAGCAGTATTCATTTTATTTTATTTTATTGTCCAATCTCATTTCATGCTAATTACGGATTTCGTCCAACACATCGTATATTGTTTCATCACAAGTTACGATCTTTCCATAAATAAAATATTCCGTCTCACACTGTACTGTTTTCCAATCCCATTGTATCGTATGGGATGATCGATCATGATCACAACGACCACGCGCGTTGAAAGGCGGTATCTTTATGACCAATCGGCTATTCGGTTCCACACAGATGATTACGATGTGGTCTCTCGTCATCAAGCGAAGATACATATAGATCATGTGGCCGGTTGTTCGTCGTCTTTTTAATGTAAACGAAATCTGTTATTTTAATGTCAATTTCCATTACCGACGACACCTCGAGCAGTGACAAAAGGATAGAATCAAAATCAAATATTTATAGTGTACCAAATTCTTACCTAATAACCAAAAATCCTAATTATTGGGAATCGGTATTATCTTACTAATTTCAACCCAGGATCACACCAGAGAAAGACAAATGGAGCTTAAACCTGGCTTATCAGCTCTGGTCACTGGCGGTGGTTCCGGTATAGGTAAAACTTTCATAAGCCTTTTCTTTCCTTCAGTGTCATATTTTGGATCAAGGACTGTTTATTTCAATTTATCGGGTTTGCTTTGATTTTTTATTATGAATCGAATAAAGTTAAGATTGTGAAACAGATTATGTAATTGATTCGAAATGTTGTTTGAATTATGCGCAGGTAAAGCTTTGTGCTTAGCTCTGGCAGGGAAAGGGATATTTGTGACCGTTGTAGATTTCTCGGAGGAGAAAGGGAAGGACGTTGCATCTTTAGTTGAAAAAGAGAACTCAAAATTCCACCAAAATCTAGGGTTTCCTTCTGCTATTTTTGTTAAATGCGACGTTACTAGCCTAAGTAAGTTCCATTGGATTTCATTTACGTAGTTGTCTCGGATAATTACATTTATATTAAAAAAAATGCTTCTTATTTTGAATAGGAGATCTAACTTTAGCATTTGAGAAGCACGTCGCGACATACGGAGGATTGGATATATGTATTAACAGTGCTGGCACCGGTAATCCTGCATCTTTCTGGAATGACCAAACTGATGGCTCTAAGACATGGAGACATACTGTTAATGTCAACCTCGTTGCACTTATTGATTGTACTCGCCTCGCGGTAATGCTTTCAACTTATATAGTACTTGATGCAGTCTTGGTTTATGACAATCCCTGGGTGCAGCAATGAATGATTTGTCGAGTCTTTGAACAGATTAAAAATATGCAAGCTCTGCAAAAGCCAGGGGTGATCATCAATATGGGTTCCTCTGCCGGCCTTTACCCAATGTATGGAGACCCCATTTACTCTGGCACAAAAGGTTTGCGGGTTTGTTTTGCTTCATTTATGTGACTGTTGCCGTTGATATTTTAACTTGGCTTTTAAAGAATGGTTTGGTTATGTATTGCATCGAACTCATGTTTTCGCCGACTATTTCTTGAATTAGAGTAAGAAGAGGGAAATTGGATAAATTATGAAAGAAATGAAATTTTATCTATTTATTAGTTCTTGCTTATAAGGCGTTTGTGTAATTGATCATTTTGCTTAAAATATTTGTTTTCCAGGCGGTGTTGTCATGTTTACTAGATCATTAGCTCCCTACAAACGTCAAGGAATTCGTGTGAACGTCCTTTGCCCTGAGGTCGTTCTTTTCTGTCAGTAATAGTTACTTTGTTTTTTCCTTCGGGGCTGATATTTTGTCTACCGGCTATTTACCTGTATAACTTGCCTTTGAATTTGGATGTAGTTCGTTCAAACAGAATTGGGAGAAAAAGCAGGCCAGAAATATGTTAATCTAGTTGGTGGCTATATGCAGATGGAAAATGTGGTGGAAGGTATATTATCTTTTATAGAATAGTCCCTGTTCATTATGTCTTCACTTAGAGCAATATTTGCCTCAGTTCCCGTGTACTTATATCTAAATACATGTTGGATACAAGTATTTGAACACAAATAGTTAAGGGATTATTTCATCCAAAAGAAAAAGAGTTAAGGAGGAGTGCATAGCTTGTGCTAAAAGCAAGATGCTTTAAATAATTGAACAAGAGCGTAAACATCGTACTGCGTTCACCACTGGATTTATCAGTACATTTATTCGAGACCCGATAAAAGGTAAGCTCTATAGGTAGAAAGAAGGACAATTGTTTTCTTACTTGCTTGCTTCTCATTTTCTTTTCAGAGGTTTGTTATTGAGAAAATTTCTCAGACCACTTCTTGTTCAGCCTCAAAGGTCCTCTTTTTCTGCTGCTTTTGAAAAAAAAATTAATCTATTACATACTATGCACTTGTACATTTTTAGGTGCTTTGGAGCTTATTATGGATGAGAGTAGAGCTGGTTCTTGCCTATGGATTACAAACCGCAGAGGTAAGGAGTATTGGCCCAGTCCAACAGAAGAAGCAAAATACTTGGTTCGATCTTCTTCAAGTTCCAGGAAAAAAAATTCATTCCGAGCTCCTTTAAGAGCCCAACTTCCTCAGAGTTTCGAGAAAGTGTAAGTAAAATTTCAAAATACTGCTTCAAATTTTGAAAAGTTTGAGTAGAATTATATGAGAGGAGGAACGGATCCAATTCCTGGGTTGGCCAGCATAAACTCCAGATTGAGTTCTTGCATAGTTTCATAAAACTACTATTTTGAGACAATTACTTTTGTTGGTTTCAAGATCTGCTTCAGTTTTTGAACAAGAAAAAGATCTGCTCCAATAAAGATAACTATCGAAGCCTTCCACTTTAAAGCAATCCTTTTTTTTTTTAAAACGTGTTAATTCAAATCACTTGCTGTGATGTTATCCTGAAACGTTCTTATAATAAAAGAAAAAACTTGTGGAAAATTCTTAGTTCTCAAATGACAACAGTGGCAAATTCTAACTGTCTCCTCATTTTGGAATTCTACCTAATCTAATAGCCAGGCAGCAAAAAAAGATTAAAAAAGATAACTGATAGAAAATAGATAAGAAGGAAATTGATAGTTGGATGGGTGAAGTGAAATAAACATTGGAGTAGAAATGGTACGATGAGCAAGTGAAATATAATAAATAGGTTCTACATTATTCAGAAAATGCAGGCAGGAACTGTTAAATTGGCCTTTGCAGGTAAATAACGAGAGGCTCTTATAAACTATGTACCGGAAACTGCTTTTATAGCATTTATGGCCTTGTCAATGGTCAATTAACTGATATAATACTTTTTTAATATCAATTTTCTTATTCGTTTCTACTTTCTAGTTCCATATCTGCTCATTGTTCTCAAACTCTTAACTCAGAAGCAAGCATACACAATTTTCTCCAGTCAACTTTCTTTTTGTATTAGTTGCTGCTAATAATCATCATAGAAGTAGGATGCTTGTCGGTTTCTTATAGCTGCTGACTACTGTAAGTTATGTAAGGTTGTAGGAATTATAGAAATGAGCTGTTCAATTCCTTAAATTAAGAGATTCTGTAATTATTCTTTGTTTTTTAATCCCTTGTTTCAAGGGATTACATCTCCTAGGATTAGTATCTTTCCTAACTTAGAGTTTCCTAGTTTAGAGGCATTATTTGTTTATAAATATGTAATATGCTCTATTGAATGAAATAAGAAAAAATAACAGACTTGTCTGTTTTCTACAGTCTGTTTTCTACATGGTATCAGGTTAGAACGATTAATCCGATTTCCGCTTCTCTTTAAATCAATTCCTGTTCAACTCTACTTTTTTTTTCATGGCTAATCCGGATCCCTCAGCATCTGAAATCACTTCCCAAATCAGCCCCTATCAATCTGATTTTCAGGTTTCAGATTCCTCTCTTTCACCGATAACCTCCTACAAACTAAATGGAAACAACTACCTACCATGGTCCCAGTCCGTACGGCTATATATCACAGGAAGAAGGAAAATAGCCTATCTTTCTGA